TAGATTCTCGACGAAACCAACTCTTGAACAGAGACCGTACAGTGGTGATAAGAGGAATAATCACTGACCACGAATCTATGGATTTAGTAGTGTCAACAGACAAAAACGATCCATATAAATCGCTCCTAAACGAATACGCTGACTTGACGAAAGTGTCTTACAATAACACTGATCTCAAACATACAGTGCAACATCACATTGTAACAAGAGGTGCCCCTTGTAACGCACGACCACGACGCCTAGACCCAAAAACGTAAAACATTGCGAAACAGGAATTTGACAAAATGACGAAACTTGGTATAATACGGCCATCGAATAGTCCCTGGGCATCTCCGCTGCATATGGTACAGAAAAAGAATGGACAGTACAGACCATGTGGAGATTATAGAGCTCTTAATAAACAAACGGTTGCTGATAGATATCCAGTGCCACATATCCATGACATTACTATCGGCATGGAAGGTGCCACTATCTTTTCGAAGACTGAACTTGTTAGAGCTTATTATCAGATCCCCGTGGCGCAGAACGATATACCGAAAACGGCCGTAATCACTCCATTCGGATTATTCAAATTTTTGCGAATGCCATTCGGATTAACAAATGCAGCTCAAACCTTCCAGAGATTCATCGACCAGGTTGTTAGAGGTTTGTCAGGCGTATATGCTTACGTCGACGACATACTTGTCGCTAGTGCTACACCGGAAGAACATCTACAACAACTAAGACGGTTGTTCAATAAACCACAAGAACACGGTATCGTCATTAACGTTGAGAAATGTGAATTTGGAAAGAAATCACTGCAATTTCTAGCATACATGAGAAATTCTCAAGGTATCACACCTGTTCCATCAGAAGTTGCAGCTATTCGTGATTATCCGAAACACAGAAGAAATTACGACGATTCCTCGGGTTAATTAACTATTATAGACGACCCATTCTAAATTGCGCAACAATATTGCAGCCGTTAACAGACGCTTTGCGAGGACGTATCCGAAAATTTCACTTGTCAGCAAACGCCATACAGGCGTTCGAGAACGCTAAACGCGTGCTAAATGAAAAGAAAATGTTAGTACGACGAGAAAATGAGGCTCCATCAGCCGTCATGACTGACGCGTCGAACGTCACTGTTGGAGCCGTGTTACAGCACTTTGTAAACGACTCATTGTAACCAATTTCATTCTCTCCTAAGAGATTAGGTCTCATGCAAGCGAGATACAGTACGATCGGAAGAGAACTGCAAGCAATTTATTTGGCAATAAAGCACTTTCGACATATGCTTGAGGGCACCATTTTCACAGTGTACACAGATCATAAACCCCTCACGAAAGCATTAAACGCCAAGCACGACAACTATTCACCGAGGGAAATTCGACAATTGGAATTTGTTTCCCAATTTACGTCTAGTATACAACATATTAAAGGTCATAATAACGAAATAGCAGATGCATTATCAAGAACGATGATCAATGCTCTCATCCAATCTGACATTGATTATCACAAGCTCGCAGCGTTCCAAAATATGGATGTTGAGCTAAGCAGGCTAAGATCATCCAGTACAACTTCTTTAGTACTCCGAGAAACTCCATTCGGCAAGGTAAACCTAATGTGTGATATTTCTACAGGCCGATCACGACCGTTTATTCCGAAGCCGTTTAGACGAAAAGTTTTCGAAGCTATGCATAATATATCACATCCTGGAATTAAGGCCACGATCAGTCTGATCAGCTAGCGTATGAACCAAGATGTTCGTAACTGGACGCAGGCATGCATAAAATGCCAGAAAGTTAAAGTTCATCGTCACACAAGATCCGCAGTAGGTCCTTTCCATCATCCAGACAGCCGGTTCGAGCATATACATATCGATGTTGTGGGACCACTGCCAATTTCAAACGGCTTCAGTTATATTTTTGCCTGCATTGACAGATTCACGCGATGGCCTGTAGCAGTGCCCATAAAAGATATTTCAGCCGAGACTATAGCCAAAACCCTAGTCGAGCACTGGATCTCATATTATGGAGTGCCTGTTAATATTACAACCGATAGAGGAGCCCAATTCGAAAGTCGCCTCTTCCAACAACTTACAGAACTTCTCGGCATTAAACATATACGCACAACATCTTACCATCCGATGTCCAATGGTATAGTAAGAGATTACACCGACAACTGAAAGCATCTCTCACAGCTGTTATCAGCAATAATGATTGGGTCAGCAAGCTTCCATTAGTCATGTTGAGTTTCAGATCGGCAATTAAACAAGATATTAGATGTTGCCCTGCAGAGTTAGTTTATGGAACTACTCTACGTCTATCAGAAGAGTTTTTCACCTCAAGTAAAAGTGTTCCAACTAATATATCCAACTACGTACATCGTCTAAAAGAACACATGAATGATCTTAGAATAACGCTTCCGAAGAAAGATCAACATCGGGTATATATTCCGAAACAACTGAACGACAGTACCCATGTATTTATCAGAAGAGATAATGTGCAACGTCCCTTACAACCGACCTACGATGGTCCATTTAGAGTAATTAAAAGAAACGATAAAACTATTACAGTTGATAAAGCCGGTAAGACGGATGTAGTTAGCGTCGACCGAGTCAAACCAGCTTTTGTTGAAAGTAAGACACAGCTGATAACTGCAAATCCTTCGAAAGCCATCGAATCACCGAAATGCGAGTTACAACCATCAGCGACATCAACGCAAAAAAGTGAAGAAAGCCCACGAACGACTAGATATGGACGAAGGGTCAGGTGGCCAGAAAGATATATAGCTACGATTTTGAATTGATAAGTTTTTTCACCATTTCAAATATAATTTTTTCTTCGCTTCGCATTTGTACGTCAAAAATTTTTGTGTATTTCGATTTTTGAATTTTTGTTATTATTCAAGCTCACAAAGGGTATACCATGCCAGGCAGGTCCATTGGAGAACGATGAGACTAAAAGCAGGTACTCAAGGTCTGAGGGCGAAGTCGTATTGCTGAATGTAGAGGGGTATGACAACAGTAAGGTGTTTCCCTCGGACAACCAGCATCTGTAGCGATGCTGCCTTCTCACAAGGAAGAAAGGGGTTAGAAGAAGGTCGACCCTAAAAATGTCACACCTCACCCTATCTCACGGATTTCCATCTCCGGAGTTAAGGGTGCGCACTAAGGGCTTTTAAGAGCGGAGCTAACACTTGAAAAACTTTTCATAAAAAGACCGTGCGTGATTGGCCTCAGGCAGTAGTCTCTTGGACTCTGCCGTCACGCTCCCAGGTCTCTAAGACCAACACTAATCTATCTTCCTTTTCAGGTTCCTCAAGAAACAGATATAATCCGCCTAATGATACATGTCTCATTTTTTGGAAAGGCAAACCATGTAAATCTATCATTTGACCAAATTGTGATCAATCCAACATGTCATCTATCCCTCTTGAAAATAGATTTGACTTTTGAGATTTAACTCGAAGTGTTTGTACAGGAGGGCATATCACTTTTTTTTCACCAAGTTCTACTTTTATGTGTATTCGTCTGATTTCATTTTGGTAGATTCATAAAACTCCCATATTAAGTATGTTTATAAATAAAGTTGTTTTTACTGAATATGTATATATATATATATATATATATATATATATATATATATATATATGTATATAAAGTACGTGTTTGTACATTAACTTGTTTACTTTTGTTGTCTGTTATTTTATTTTCCAAAGCATGAATTAACTATGCAACTAATATCATGTGTAATAATCAACCACTACTTCATTTTATTTATTTCAACACATGAACATAGAAGGCCATCTAAATATTAATGCACCACACAAATCATTAATTTGTTTGTACAATAGGATACTACTACTACTACTAATACTACTACTACTACCCAACTGATCACACCGAAGCAAGTAGTTTTTTATTATGAGGTCCATCCCTCAAATTTCGACCTACCGGATTATAATTCAATTCAATTTACAATAATTTTTCATAGATAAGTAAGGATATTCAAAAGAAAACAACAACAACAACAGTTCGAAATGTTAGAATGAACAGAAGAAAGAAAAAAAAACACAAACATGAAGGTCAAATAAATAAATAAATATTGGTAGGTTAATTAAAATAAACTACTTTTTGACAGTCCAGTAAAATGTAGATCAATAAATAACAATGATATTTAATGATTGGTAGTGAAGTAAAAAAAAAGTTTAGAAATTCTTCAGTATCAATTTAACAAGTCTACTCTTGTTTTGTTTTTTTAAGAAGAAACAATGTGATGGCGTAATCAAGTTGGACAGTTAAACTAACCATTGACATAATGAAAATATCTACTGGTTTTCTATGCTGAGACTTATCTGATAATTTATCTGATAACCATAGACTTGTAACAGACTTATTATGGATGCCAGTCCCATACAGAGACATTCTCCATACAATAGCGCCATGTTATATGCATTGATCAGCTCTCTGAACCTAGTTTCAGACTCAGTAAATAATGTGCAAAGTAGAAGTCTTGGAGATGATACGCGTTAAGCCAAATTATCCTATCATAGAGAGACTGATCAGATAAAATTCATTGTCAAGGGAGTATAACAATGAAATGCATAACGAAATTGACAATATGATTCAAGAAGACAGAATGAGAAAGCACATACAAAGAGCTAGTAAAATAAAAAGATCTAACGAGGGATAAGAAGTGTATGTATCTATGATTAATTTCCAAATCAACCTAGTCAATTAATATCTTCAACTAATAATCTCGGTTATCGCATACATCAATCGGTAGTCTAACACCAACCAATGGTCAATAAGTTTATGGAACTTATCTCATATTTTGGTGATGGTTACAACAATATGAAATTTAATTTGATTACACAACTCAATGGATGACAAATATAAATTCGATCATCAGTGAAATAGAATTTTTGACGAAAACATAATACACCAACAAAGCATAATGATACTTTGGATATAATATAATACAAAAAACAAAAACAATAAAAAATTTCATTCTTACGTTTTGAAATAACGATCAGCATAGGCTCGATGTGATACGGTCGCCATACCATGATCAGAAGTTAGTAATAAATTTAAATTCGGTATAGATTCTATGATATTCAATGCATAATCAATCACATAATCTAAATAGATTAAATGTTTATGTACTAATTCATTAGACAATGGACCATATCTATGTCCGATACGATCTAATTCGTCATAGTATACAACTGAAAAGGAGAGAGTGAGAGAGAAAACAATGCAGTATAAAAAGTAAAGTAAAAATTAAAACATTCATTAAGAAATAAGTTTATAGCTTTGATTGTGTTAGGATATTCATCCAATATCCTAAAAGAATTACTCGTCAATTCCTATTGGTTAATTTTATGGTCGTCCTAGATATCACTGTCACGTACTCCAATGTTGTTTCTTATTGGTTGTCCGGACTGTCAATGTTATTTCAAATGTTCTTTACTATTGGTCGTCTTAACTGTCAATGTCACTGACTTCGATACTCTTTCCTAATCGACCTAAATGTATAAATACGCAGTATCTGTAAAGCTTTGTATTCCATATTCCGTTCTTTCCTGCCTTCCTCTCTACTGTACTCGACTCATTAAACAACTTCATTTAATAGTGTTGCGTTCTGATATATAGGAGATTGGGAATAGTATTTGGGTCGTATTGGAATATTTGAATTTGGACGTCGATAGGAATGAATAGCTACGTAGCAGCATTATAACAGATTGAAATTGAATGGTGGCTAGCAGTGATTACGACAACTTCATTTTCACCCTATTTGGTCAGTTAGATACAGAGCTGTATCGCAGTGATCTAAACGAAACTCAACACAATTATAAAATGTCAAATCAATTGAAATCATCTCTGAAAATTAAATAAATTATTATATGCATTTATTGGATATCAAAGAAATCATTTCTGAAAGTCAAGCGCTTGATTCGACGCGCAAAAGTTCTAGGTCTAACTCCTGATAGGTTTGTGAATGTGCATTACTGAGAAGTTGTCCAAGCTAAGTCTAGAATGTAAAACTTAAAACCGAACAGTCTCTACAACTCTCCGTACTAAGAAATTAATGAACAATTTTACCCGATAGTTAAGTGTGTGTTTTTGTGAGACATGCACACTGAAACGATGCAATGTACAAAGTTTGTGGACTAAATGTGAGAATTTTGAGCTGACCACGAAAATTTAGTTTTTTTTCCATATATCCTTGTTCAATCAGTATAGTTGCTCTAGTCTGTCGTCTATAGATAGTGAAAATACAATGATTTTAGAAGAGATGAAAATCTTGCCCATTACCTCCAACAATGTGAAAAGTTGAAAACTTCAAGCTTCAATAAAAATAATAGCCAATGTAAACAAACAGATGACTAGTTAATAAACTGATTAGCTGAATTGGTAAGAGTATAATATAATTCCAACCTTGGACAGGGAAGGAAGATCAACAGACGAAGTATTAAAACTCCATCAGTTCAGGTAGTTGGGACATGTGTTACGTATGCCTAACCACCGCAGGTGCATTCATTCTTTGCGTTCTCTTAAATCCCAAAGTTTTATCAATTCTTCATCACTTTATCTTTATCTTTTTAAGTCTATTTCATTAAATTCTACTTCTTGAATAATATCTTCTATTCCTAACCTGTCCGACTACTGCTAATACCTTTACTACCTCTACTACTATTGGATTTGAATTGACAATTACTTCTCTGTGCTAATGTGGCATGGCAACATGAACTGATGTACGTACGTACGAAGTTCTACGTTGCTAACGATTGATTGATTGAATTTATTTGATGTGATAATTCACTAATTATTCCTGTTTCCAGTCATATAATTAACTGTGCATACTACCGCAAAACTCAAAGTGCACATATAATCGATCATACGATGTATATTAATCACCTTTATGAAAGATGGAGCTATGGCCCTAGTGGTAAAAAACACAACTAACATCCAAACACTTTGATGCAGCTTGAAATTCCGTTATACTTCTACTTAGGATCAATGAAATAGATTGTTAACGGGACATAGTTGGATTAGAGCATGACAGAGTTAGCTGCACGCTGATTGGCTAAATCTTATCCAATCAGCGCTAGTCGACACTTGCAGTACATACCAGAAACTTCTCATGTAAAAACTATGAAGACAATAACGTTGTTCCGATTTCACCTTCGCTTCGGCTTCCTACTTCCATTTAACCTTGCTATTTAAAAGATAATCATTTCATGTTCAACCGTGTTCTGATTTGGGGATCAGGAATAGTTGGGTTTACTAATAGAGAATTATAACATAGATGGTATCACTAGAAGTTATGGAGAAATCTGTGACTTAAAATTGAATGCATATACCCGTACTCAGTTAACCAGTTACATTAGTTATTATATATGCATATTAAACAAACTTATCAAATCTGTAGAAATTAGCTTTTATGTCATATTAATTTCCATGGGCAGTAATTGTGATGTTAACTTTTATTGTGTCAATTATAAATTTAAAACTGGTTAAATCTATGAAATTTGAAATAGTTACCAAACCGTTACATATTATTATGTGGCTTAAAATCTAGTTAGCATAAATCTGAATGTGATGAATGAATGAAATTCAAATTATACAGATGTTGTAAATAATAATAAGAAGAAGAAAACTATCACAACACCGATGAAATGCCTACAGTTGGTGCAGATAAACAGAAAGAACACATTCACTCTACACAGAACTTAACAAACATCCTGGTAAATATGTAGACTTTACAAGAAATTGAGATATGGAGCGAAACGGTGGTTTTATTTTCTTTGTTTGTTGATAAATGTACACATTTGAAATCATCAATCAATCATTGTTAGACCACCATTAGAAACCTGGAAGTACTGGACGGTCGTTTCGTCCTGGTATGGGACTCATCAGCAGTGCGCATCCACGACTCCTGCTCCTCGCAGGATTCGAACCCGAAGCATTGCTCGTTTATCATGGGATAACCGTATAAGCAATGCTATCGCTAGGAAACGTGTTTTAGGTAAGGATGGAAAACCAATAGATGAAGTAGTGAAACATCATCAGTTGAGGTGGTTGGGACATGTGTTACGTATGGCTAACCACCGACTGCCTCGACGAGCTATGCTTTGCCATGTAGGAATTCGTTGGAAGAAAGCTAGGGGCGGCCAAACCAAAACATGGCAGAAATCCATGGAGTCACTGACAAGTGGACTAAGTCATGTTGGTAGATGTAGGCTACCTGGTTGGGGTCTGCGAGACGAAAGTCATCATTAGTTAGAGACCTTGAACGACATGGCTCAAAATCGTTTGCAATGGCGCAGGTGCATCCACTCTTTGTGTTCTCTCAAACTCTATTCTTCTGAATTCCTTATAATCTCTACCTTTCTCCTTCTAAATTTATGTCACTGAATTATACCTCTCGAATCATATATTCGCTCCCTAATCTTCTCCATTACTGCTAATACTTCTATTATCGCTATCACTCTTGGATTTGGACTGACAGCTGCGTCTGTGTGCTGATGTGGTATGGCAACCTGAACTGATGTACTTACGTACGAAGTTCTGTGTTGTATCTGTCTGTCTGTCTGACAAAAAAATTCTCTTTAATCCATTGTGGAAAGTCTAATTGTAGAAGAGTTATGTAACAATCGTCCAGTTTGCCAAATTAGCAGAGATCGTGTTATGTATTCAGAAAATCTCTTAATCCTTCATAATTCTGAAAGACCAAACCTAACTAAGAATTAATTCACAAAGTGACGTTACTGTTAACTTTCACAGAGCAGGAAAAAATGTACATGTTCTTCAAAACTCTCATTAATAGATACACACTCACACACGCACACAAAAATAATATGAAAATAGGACAAGCAAACACTTGTGAACAAAAGCTGAACTTGTATTTGTCAAAACAAAATGATCATTAGTAGAAAATTTAGTTAGAAAAACGAATTATATGTTAAGCACACGAACACATGTACACACACACACACACACACACGAATACATACTTACCATATGAGAAGGCACTTGATTAATTAGGAACTTTAATGTACGATAATGATAATAATAATGATAAAACGAAAAAATTGGGTTCTACATAGATGAATAGTTAACAACATTGGAAATAGGTGGAATAAGATTTATACAAATTAACCTCTCTATTAGCAAGGGTAATTTTACATTGGTTTTCAGGAGAGCTAAGGAGACTGTCCACGTGTTAACACATTTTAACGTGAACAGTTCGGCTTAATATCCAGTGGAGCAACCGTACAGGTATCTGATACACTGGCGGGATCAGATGTAAATAGTTGAAGAAACTGAAAAGTCGTATTCCGATGATGTCTGTTTTATTCTCAAAATGGTCCTAAAATGATCGATTGTACGGAACGTATATTGTTTAACGACGACTCAGTCAACTTTATCGACAATCATTTCTTGAATGACCAATGAGAAAAAATGAGTCAAATTCGAAACATTTAAACCAACAAACATAATAGAAGCGCACTTCAACAGTCATAGGTTGTATTCTCCTAGGTTAAACAAAATACTAGGAAATTTCAAATAGCACATAACATATCACTTATCCAACAATACGAACAAGACTTGATTGTCCACTTGTCACAAATGAGGGAGATAACACTATAACATCTCCAAAGTAAGATGAAGAGTTAACAATCTTAGGCCTTTGAGCATGAGGATACATTAAAATTTCTGAAACACATACAGCCACAGATAATTTGACTATTACTGTCTACTAAGTTCAATATTCTTATTTTATATTATTTAATCCATAAACATTTAAATGATTTTTATTCAGAATTTTATGCATACTGGAGCAATGATCCATCTGATTATAGCACTAAGCTTTAAACTCGAAAAACCGGGAGTTCGAAACCCTATCCAGCTAATTTAACCTGAACATACGGGTAACATCATACATAATCTGTCATGCAGGTAAGGTGTGACTCAAATCTAAGAGCGCGAACTAGTACTAAATAAACGAGTCAAACTTTTTTCACTTCATGTGGAGTATCTGTATTGGAAGCTCCACGATCCCGTCGTCCAGTAACACTGTCTTGAAGAAACTGATAGTTAAGTAGTCGTAACCTATTCATATCTTTTAAACTCAATGGGTATAGATAGAGCTAACAACTGTAAAGCGACACAAATCTAAGCACTAGAAGGAACTGACACAGAGCGATACTTGATAGTAGTGATTTGAAAGGACTAATCGATGGAAGTCTCCGATTCCACTAATAAACCACTAATAGACATCAGTTTTATAGACTATAGAAATGATTTATTCAAGTTATCTCTAGTTTTTTTCACCAGTGAGCTACCGAAATGCAAAACAGTATGATAGAACAAGTGGTTGAACTATGTATGAAGCAGCCGAAAGAATAATTTGATCAGAGAATTTAAATGTCGTTGGCCGAAAAAAAAAGGAATGAAATTAGTACTTACATGTAATTTCTGAAAGCCAACTTTTGTTTTAGTGCTTTCTGTTAAGAACTGACGTTTAAATGCATACAAAACAGGATACACTCATTCGAGGTACAGATATCTTGGAGACTAATGAGGAGAAAACTTTACCACAACGTAGGTTATCGTATAACTTTTGACAATGACAAATAACTTTATATAACCTTACCCAATAAATTAAATTTATCTAAAGATTTAAAGTATGCTTATTACATTAATTTACTGTTAGTTGTACGTAACTGGAATTTTAAACAAAGTACCACCTGATGCAACACCTCATGCATCAGCCCAAATCGCTACTTTATATTTAATAAGAGAGTGGCGGTTAACAAACAAGGTGAAAATGTGAAAAGACAATCGGCAACAGTGAGGATGATAATTATAATGTTGAACATATATACCTGCTAAATGTGCACTGCCATTTTGTAGTCCATTTAAAGCTTTTTGTATTGTAACATTCAAATTCATAGGATTCATAAGTTCTTGATTATATGGTTCACAATGCCAACTATTTTCACCACCAGCTTCATTGGAACATATAGGCAAATGATAAAGATGAACACCTTTATTCTGAATAAGGAAAATGGAAAGACAAAATTAAAACGAAAATAATTCTGTCATTAGTTATGTTAAAGTACAACAATATGCTTCTATGTTAAACTGGTATGAAGTTCAAGTTCGAAAATAGTTAATAAAGGCTACGTCAACATATGATGTATAAGTCAATGGAGGAAGTTAATGACTGTTAGTGTGAGTGATTCACTAAAAATGCAAATTATCTCATTTCGAAGTATTAAGTGACATAGGATTATTCAACATCAGCCGCAGTAGTAGAGTACAAATGCATTCATCCTCTATCTTATTCTGGAGATTTGATTTTAGTGTTGATTCATAGCTTTTTTTATCCCTTGATTTGATTTGTTCTTTGTTTACACCATAATTTATGTGGATATTTGTCAAATTTTGAACAAATAGTTGGATAGAAGTTGAGCACTGAGCATACAAACAATATTATATATACAAAATTATATTTGAAATAATCTTAGCGGTTGAAATTCAAATAACTCCAACATTTCATTCAGCGAATTCGTCTAGCCTGGTTAGGATAACGTTGATTTTATTATCTTATTAGTGTCATATCTACGTTAATTAATTTTCACCTAATATGTTATGTGGTGCTGTGAAGTATGATAACTTGAATTGATACATATATGTGTTAGGTTCAATGTTAGTCTTCTTATCATATAGTAGAGTAAATAAATTACATTTTATGCGGTAACCGAAAATGCTATTTAGCAGATAATAAAGTGAAATCGCCAAAGAAGAGCACACAGTATGAGAAGAAAAAGAAGAGGAAGAAACACAAGTTTATTTCCGTTATTAGGACTGGATTTTGAAATTACTTATCCAAGAATCGTGGTTGTTTGGCTTCGTCAACATTCTTAAAAAAATGTTCGTAAATATAGTGAATGATTTCATAGAATACGTTGTCAAATCTCAGATCATCTACACTCAACTAATTCAAACTCCAACTTACATAGTGTCAAAATAAGCAATGACTCATAATGACATGGATGAACAAGTTCACACCGATGAAGAAAGATTTAAATCCAGAACAGTTGAAAAATAACCGCTTAAAGCAGATCACTAAGTTCAAATGTCAGAATGATGGGAGTCAGTCATTTATGAAATAATGATCTACAAATACAAACATCAGAATCTATCAAATGATGTACGCATTATTTCAATTTTTCCCAGATTAAATTTTAACACATAGGCAGTTCGATCACTTAATAGTAAACATTTAGTACATTTCTACGATAATCAATTCTCTTCGGTGGAGAATCACATTCATTACAAGAGTTAATAGAAAGGTAGACATAAACAAAAAATTACTTTGAACAAATTAATTAAGGAAACCTATCTGATTCATTGATTTTTCATAGACAATTTTCCTTAGTAAAAAGGTAGATTAGTAAACTTGGTTTAAGTGAGAAACACTATTTAAAATAGTATCACAACAGTATACCTAACCCTAGCTGCTACCTTGACGCCGTGATCAGGTTTGCCTATCGCTATGACCCAACCGAGCTATATTGGCTAGAACATATGTTTTTGTAGGTTCTACCATGCCAGGCAGGTCGATTGGAGAGAGCGGTAAGAATAAAATCAGCAACTCAAGGACTAAAGGCGAAGTCGTACTGCCTTCTTACAAGGAAGGAAAAGGTAAGAAAAGGTCGAACCTTACCTCACGGTTTTCGTCTTCGACAGTAAGGCCATTTGAAGAGCGGAGCTAACAGTTTACAAACTTCCCATAAAAAAGCCAGGCTTGACTGGCCTCAAGTAGTTTTTCCTCGAGTTTTGCGATCACGCTCCCCGATCGATAAGACCAACGCTAACCCGATTCCTTTTTCAGGTTCCCCAAGAAACGCCCTTACACTGTGTGGACTAAACGGGACAGTAAGAACTCGTGAAGATAGGGACACGTGCTGCTGTCTTAGCCTATGCTCCCAATGATTGCAGGTCAGACGAGGTGAAAGATGAGTTTAACAGAAAGCTTTCTAACCACCAAAAAGTTAGAAATTCTGACATAATTGTAATGACTGGTGACTTTAATGCTCAAGTAGGTTGACTGGGTGAAAATGAAAGACACCTAGGTGGATCTTATGGTGTCGTGGCTCAAAGATTAGACAACGGCGACCGTCTTCTGCAGCTGTGCTTAGATACCTGCCTATTTCTGACAAATACTAACTTTACGCATACGGAAAAACGTCTTCTGACATGGCGACACTCGAAATCGTCCAAACGTTGGACCCGTCTAGATCACATTGCTACCAATCACCGATGAAGAGCCTCGACAGAACATTGCCCCTCATTATAGAGCACATGTTTAGAATCAGTTCACGCTCTAGTACGAGCGCGTATCTGTCTGCGTCTTATTGGGCGTAGGAAAAACATTACAAGGAAACCTCTTTGGGTTCTACTAAATGATACCAAAGCAATCATTCTCAATCCAGGAGATTGGATCAATGGGCAGAACACTTTAGGGATCAGTTACCCACGATCTATAGCCACCATGAATAGCAGGATGATTTAAATCCTCCGACTCTTAATGAGGTCGAAAAAGCTATAGGAAATCCGAAGTGAGGGAGAGCAGATGACCCTGATACATTAACCACTGAGATTTTTGAGGATGGTTGTCCAGTTCTATCAATTAAATTGACTAGGATCTTAGCTAGAGTCTGGGAACTCGACATAATCCCATCTGACTGGCCTCAAACACTGATAATCCCAGTCTAAAAAGGACAAAAGTCCTCTTGTGAAAGTCACAAAGAAATTAGTTTGACTAATATAATGTTCGGGATGAGATACTCCCAGTCGAAAAACAAAATGTTGCTTCAAGATTGGCTTGCGTAGGTAACTGAACTAGTGATGGGAGTGTAGTAATTGGGCAAGTTGGTCGCTTCATTTTTTTATAGTCTCATCAATGCTGATGCCCTGGTGTCTGACGAAATCTCAGAACGAATACAGAAAGCTTGATTGGCTTTTGCCAACTTGCGTCACCTATAGCGTAGGCGAGATATCCGCTTGCTAGCCAGAGGATAAGTGTACTGTGCAGCAGTCCGCTCCGTCCTACTCATAAAACAATACTGGATGGTATTCATAGGTCACTAGTACTCAATCATAGATGTTTTCAAAGCATTGCTCGTATATCCTGGGACCACTGAGTAGGCGATGCTGTTTTTAGGAAATAGGTGCTAGTTAAGGATGACATCAATAAATGAGGCAATGAATCTTCATCAGTTGAGGTGGCTGGGACATGTGATACGTATATCTAATCACTGGCTACTTCGACGAGAGATTTTATCTTATTTAGAGGGAGGCTGGAAGAAAGCTAGGAGTGAGCAAATCAAAGAGTGGTACTAGTCCATGAGGTCAGTGACAACTGAACTGAGCTATGTTAGTAGAATCAGACTAACTGTTTAGAGTCCACGAGACAATAGTAACCGATGGTTCGACTTTGAATGACATGGCTGGAAATCGTTCGCAATGGTGTAAGTGCATCGACTCTTTGTTTTCTCTCAAATTCTAACCTTGTGAATTCCTCACCACCTTTATCTTCCACTTTTTAGGTTTACTTCACTATATTAGGCTTCTTGAATGATATCTTAGAACCCTAATCTTCTCCATTACCCCTAATACTTCTATTACATCTACCACTACGGAATTTGAAGTGACTATTGAATCTCTGTGCTTATGTGGTGTGGCAACTTGAACTGACTGAATCACAGTATGGTAATGAACAAGAGCTCACCTACAAGTCATACAGCCATTGAAATATAACGCTATCATATATTCCTGATGTTTAATATTCCTTAGGCATAAATGCTTTTACTCAGCTGTTCCCAAATCAGATTAAGTTTTGAGGAGGAAAATCGTATTCTACAACAACATCAATGATAAAAATACAGTAATTAAGACGCTGGAGTCCACCAGTACTGACCAGAGTATTTTGATTCCAGCTTGATTAAGGAATGTAGAAGCGAACACTTTATTGGTTATGAAACAACAGGACTAAAAATTAGATATAGATGAGGAGCATAAAAAGAACGGAAAACTCACTTGTTTCACTCCTGTTTCCCAAAGACCTTCAGCCTGAGAACGAATAGGTTCGCCATCAATGGTTGTATGTTCACTAAATGTTGTTGGGAGAATAACTCCATGGTCAACTGGATGACGGCCTGTTGAAGAAAAGAAAAGCATCATTTTATTTGTGAGTATTGATAAACTACTTAGATTATTTATGTGATAGTCAGTTCGCTACAACGTAGAACCTCGTACGTACGTACGTACATCAGTCCAAGTTGCCATACAAAATTATCACAGACAGAACCGTCCATCCAAATCCCAATACAGTAGAGGTAGAAGAAGCATTAGCGATAATGGAGAAGATTAGGGTTCGAGGATATTATTCAATAAATATAATCCAGTGAAATAAATTCAAAAAGAGAAAAGAAAATGGTCATGAGAGCATGGGAGAAGATAACAATGGATGCAACTGTGCCATTGCGAACTATTTTGAGCAATGCCATTTGAAGCCCCTAGCCACCAGTTAGAATTGTTTCGTCAACCCCAATCAGGTAGTCTAAATCTGCTAACATAGCTCAGTTCAGTTGTCACTGACCTCATGGACTAGTACCACTCTTTGATTTGCTCACTCCTAGCTTTCTTCCAGCCTCCCTCTAAATAAGATAAAATCTCTCGTCGAAGTAGCCAGTGATTAGATATACGTATCACATGTCCCAGCCACCTCAACTGATGAAGATTCATTGCCTCATTTATTGATGTCATCCTTAACTAGCACCTATTTCCTAAAAACAGCATCGCCTACTCAGTGGTCCCAGGATATACGAGCAATGCTTTGAAAACATCTATGATTGAGTACTAGTGACCTATGAATATCATCCAGTATTGTTTTATACTATATGAGTAGGACGAAGAGAGCTGTTGCACAGTAGACTCGTTCTTTGGTTTTGATGTGATAGAAAATAACAACACCTATGAGTTTCATGTCCGAACTTTTAGAAAATCAACTATCTTAATCTTGCTAAGATGACTTGGGTATTTATAGTTTCCCACTAAGTGGTTGATGAAGTTGTTCTTTATGCAGTCAGTCACTCAAATATAATGAAGTGATCGTTTCAAGAGGTGCTGTTGGTAGGATAGGAAGACTTGGTTCAGTTCGAATTATGTTGGTGAGATTTGAAGCGCTTCAATTCTATAGCCTAAAATATTCGTCGAACTGTTTCCTCCCTATTGTAAAGCCAATGCTTCTTTTTTCCTTTTAAATGTGTTAGTTTTCTGTTTTTGTTAAACTTGTTATTGCATGCCAATGTTGACAATCATGGCCAATTTTAGAATGTTTTAGATAGCCATCAAGTTAGATGAAAAAATACACTGTACACTAAATATTATCCAGTAAAATAATCATCGAGTTATGCTAACTGGTTATTCTGGAACTAAATAAATTACTCAGTAACATTAAGTAATAATCTTGAAGTAAACTAAAGTGAGTTTACGGGAAAATAAGTGAATTCATTTTTAATAAAATGGACTTTATGGCTTGTATACGTTTATCATTATATTTCACGACAGCTTTTATGAAAACCACCATTTGATGATACTAGAATCAGTTCGGAGAACAAGAGAAGTGGTGAGTTTATTATATGACTGTGAAATGAAAAGTTGAGGTCAGTGAGCATAGGTTAACGTTTCGCAATTTCTTGGGTACATTTATTACGGTTAGAATTTGCGGCGCGTACTACTCACGACGAGGCTTATAAGTAATATGCAGTGGTTATGCAGTAGTGTCGACCTGAAATTACAGCCCAAACTAGTGTCAGATCCGGATGTATGACGCAACCAGTGTTTCAAGTTAGTTTATTCATCAATTGGTTTTTCATTCTTAGATCCTGCGACTTAGTTAACTCACTGTATGTAATTGATCGCTTTAAGACACGCAATATTGAGTCAGTAGGTCATGGACTTACTCAAAAATTTACCTATCACACTCCGGTAAGTCAGCCAGCTAACAGATTTAATATTCAAATGATATGAGTGATTGACATCTCTTAGCATACACAACTAGCTGTGTCTGCTGAGATGTTGGAATTTAACTATGAAAACTTCAAACTAAATATGGTACAGTATACCTGTGAATAGTGAGTAAATATTCGGATAACACTCCGCAGGAAATACAGGAGTGAGACGTTGCAAGTATGCACCATTTTTTTGTAGTCGTTTGAATCCAAATTCATTGGTATTATTTTCTAAATGATTAGCTACTACATCCCACCTTAGTCCATCAATTAGAAGAACTAGTAAACGAGATGTAGAACTTGGTGAGGAATGATCTGAGATTGTTGTTGTTGTCACCGTTGAACTGCTCATATTGAATAGATAAATTAAGATATACACAAATATGTATGTATTCATACTGAGGAACTGAAAAAGGAGATAGAGAATTTTAAACATGAACACTAAAATTTAACAATCAAATGTTGATTTAAGAAGTAAAACAAGTTACTGTATGAACAGGTGTATATTTGTATGATCAAAACATTATAGATACAATTTAATTAATTCATCACTAACAGCTGAAGGTGTTAAAACACCTAGATCTGTTATCAGATAATTAATGTAACACGGACTTGTATAGTCTACTCGAGGCATCTTTTGTTCAATTACCGAAACTCTTTGTGCTTCAACATCAGCCCATGGAGTTTTCATTTCCGGGAAATCAAAGTTATTTTCATCATTATCAGTTAAATAGCTGTTTCCATCTCTTAAATTAGATAGAGGTGATGGCGATAATGATTCGTACTCATGATCGTTAGACCATTTGAATTCGTCAGGAATATGACGTTGATCAAGAGGATAACATCGTATAAATTTGAAAGATTCTGCAAGCACATAAACTGGTTTACCAAATGAAGATGCTGTCATTGCGATCAGTGAAGAGCCAAGCATATTTAATATTCCACCACTCTCCACAACAGCTTCAGCTCCCAAAACAACAAGGTCAACTTGTGGCATTAAGTAAGCAAGAGAGTTGTCTGGAACAAGAGTACAAGGAATTTTTAATTTAGCCAACGCTTTCGTCATCTTTGCACCCAACCCGCTAGGTGAACATGTTGTTACATAGCAATGAGGACGCTTTTGAACGGATGCAGCATATGCCAGTGCAGCAAGAACAACACGGGAATAAGAGTGTAAGAATATCACCGAGTCATTAGGGATGTAATTCAGAAAGTTCTCCGCTATTTTACGCCTACATGAACCGACCTGAAGTGGAAAATAAAATTTTATTACCATATTATTGAAACATACATTCAAGTATTGACATTTTAATTCCAAACTACACAATCATACCTCGCAGTCACACATCAATTTGGAACCTATGGGTATAGTTAGGGGTAGTGATATCACGGAACTGTAAAAACTACAATAGCTTTAACATGCTAGCCACCACTCAAGATGCAAAATATTTAGTCTTATTGATTATTTTCCACATTCATACAAAAAGAGCGAGAGGTAACGGACAAACCTAGTGGCGGTATTAAAACTCTACACAAATATAAGTATCGAACCGGATTAATAGTGCTGTATTGGTGTCTCTTAAAGGCATTAGTTTTGCAATCGACAATCTCAGTCCGACCTAAAACTTGAGGTAAATCATGGAGCTATCAGTTTCATTATATCACAAGCTTATGGAGTTAAATTCACAGAAGTGATATGCGACACTTCAACACCACATAGCAATCTGTTACTAAAGTAATTAGAAATTGCAACAATCCAGATTTTCCCCTCAACAAAAATAATCTGAATTACTAGAAGAGTACTGGTTTCAACCAGACCCAGTAGTAACTGTTACTCTGAATTAAACGAAAACTATGTCCAATAGGATATCTAGTTACCACCGTAGAAGCTAACAAGCGCAAGCCAAACGACAATACCTGAGTGGCAATTGCTCAAAACAATAACGATAATAATAGCGTTTGACTAAAACAAAAGATAGGGCAGAAAACATATACAAAAATTCAAAATGGTCATATATATACCCAGGAAATATAAAACATGCAAGTGACTAGATAGAATCTCAGATATTTGACATCCCTTTAACATTCCTTTCAGCTTACACAAGCCTGAGTGACTTTGTCGAACTCCAAAGAAAACAAGTATGTAAGCCAGAAAAAATTTTCCAACAAATCCAGGGCAAATTTATAGACGACACGATACATAACATGCACATAATGAGGTCAAAGCTACAAACGAGAATTATTAACTATGCATCTGCCTTATAGAATGGTTTATAAGCGATGTCTTAAGGGGTAGATTCGAATACCATTGTATCTAACTTTTCCAAAAATTGTAAATTACTTCTAGCTCTCTTGTTTTTTTTAAGGACAGATACAAGAACATGAACTAGACCACTGATAGGAATTAAGACCTAAAAGCAGAAGGAAACCTTAAGGAGGTAGACGTAGAACGACCTAAGAACATTAAGTCGGCCAAAATACTTTTAAGTTCTTTACTTTATTAATGATGATCACATAGAACACTGCTAAGTGGTATGTAGCTTTATTGTTGGACGTGTTTGAACTAATTATCTTCATAAGGAAAGAGTGTTATACTTCATTCCAGCTTTCCATCAATTCCTCACGCCAACCCCCTGCCAACTTGACGTTCGATGACTACTTTGTCGCGTTATTAGCAACAAATTAAATAAAGATTATTCAGCAGATAAACGCGCATTACTATATCAACTTAGGACACAGATGCTTCGAGCTTAAACAGAAGTCGTTTTAGCTAGGTGGGGCCTAATATGGTGGTAAAGTGTATTTTTATCAAATCAAACCAGCGGATCAATAGTGAAGCAAATAATCAAATATATTAATCCTCTGAATAACAAGGATTTAATAGTACTCACCTTCCTAATAAATATTTGGGCTCTTTCAGAAAGAACTTTTTTGCATCCATCAAAGTCAACTGTATCCAATGTCGTTAGCGTAATAAAGCGCTGGAATAATTCGCAAGCTGATATAACAGAGAGATTGTTAACACCTTCTTTCCACATGCGTTCTATAGCTGCATTCATCACATTATGAAGCCCTTGGACTGTTGTGACATCGGAAAATTCATGAAGTTGTGCTAGGACTTCAATTGCAACAACAGCTTCTGATTTATCCGGATCACTCTTACATAAGACCTTAAAACGTTTCACCAGGTCTAATATTTGACTTGTCATCTCACGTGAAGGACGTTTCCACCGTCCTTCAAAATGCAATATCCAATATCTTTTTCACGATCTATTATGGATCAATTAATTTCTTTAAGCTCGATTCTTGTTCTTCCGGTACAGTTCTAGCTATTCGGTAGTATCCAATCGATCGTTTTATAGCCACTCTACTGGATTAATTATGATCAGTTGTTTATAAATTTGTGTTGCATGAGTACATTTGCTTCATGACAGTAGGGTTTTTAACTTACAACAACTATCACATTATCAGGACGGAGATCAGTTAGTTGCGACTTACAGATTAATGAAAGAAATTTTATAATGCTATTGAGACAAAGATTTCAGTACAACTTAAACAGTTAAATGAATTCATCAAATAGCAGTGAATTTTGTGAAAGAGGAAAGAAGAGGAAAGGTAGACAATCAAACAGATAGAGTGATCAAATGTTCTGAGGAAATGACTACACTAAGAAACAACAGGTTCCGAGACATACTTCAGGCACAGATCAGAAGGGAGGTCATGATCTGTAGGTGAGCACGTGTTTATTAAGTATATTCTTGTAGCCATCCACTGAGTGGAACTGGTAACTTCCGCTAGAAGAGCATCCCTAGTTTCGCCAACTCCTAATAGGAAGAAGTGTTGACGAACCTGAGTGTTCACCAACCCATGTGCGACCCATATAAGGGTACCTTGAGAGTCGTGGTGTTGATGTCCTAATGAGATGCTCATACTGGGATGATTCGTTGTATTTAATATGTTGTATGCCATCATCAGATTACCTCTAATTCTCTTATAATCGCAGGTGTTGGAATCTGTCTGCGTAAGGCTTGTTGTGCAACCTTGTCGCGTATTTATATGATCGTCTCTGCACTCAGTCCAGGAGTTTGGTGTCTCATTAAATGAAGTGTGATGAGATTGCGAACTTTAAGGTGTGGTCATGTGTATGTGTTGGAGAGGGTTGGAAATAGTTGCGTGGTGATTGCGACAATATTTCTTCGCAAAAAGTGAAGGGTTGCCTTGCGCTCTGCTGCTTCTCCAAAATATTTCAAACTGGCGTCTAGGCTTTCTACCGTTATTAGACCGAGGTGCCGCGGACTTACATGCAACTGGTTTGTAACAAGATTTTTCCGTTCGATTTCCTCCTTTGAAAATTGGAGACTAGCTTGTTTCCGATTAGCTGGGAGTTGAAGTGACCCCAGTAAATGCCTGAAAATGTCACATACCGATGAGCTGAGGGCTTCTTAACACTTTTTCAAGACTATCGAGCGAATATTGCCACATCTCAATGACTTTTCTTAGCACAGGGATTTCAGTTACCTTAGTACAAAGTCAGGAGTAAGTTAGATATTCCCTATGCCATCAGCTGGCACTAGTTTTGAGTAATACTCCCAACTTGCATGTACCTGGTTTAACTGACCTATGAAGTTTGTGTTTATGTTACTTTATCTCAATGCTTTTTGAATTAACTTTATGCAGGTTCAGTGTTGGCTAAAATTTCACCTGCCTCTAATCTGAAGAAACCCATATATAGTCGCAAATTACAAACATCTTATCTGATAAACAAAGCAGTGGGAAGTTTGAAAATTATAATCGTTTAGTGTGAAATTTGCTTCATCATCAATGAGATATCAGTAAACCTAGTCCAACTTACTTATGGAGATGCGCTTTATATCTAGATGAATTCGTACCCGGGGTTGAGTTCTTTATCGCAACAACTGTCTGACTTTATCTTGCAATAGGGTGTTAAGTTTCATACCACAGTTACTTTCTTTCGCATTATGGATGGACAAATATTCATTCATTTTGTGTTGGTTTGATGGACAAATTCGACAGTTTATTTAAAAATCCAATGTTTTTGAAAAAAGTCAGAGCATACTGATAAATTTTCATCTTTTATTTGATGTTTGCGCATGTACTAAAAAGTATTTAAGAAGGCGGGCTGTACTTTAGGTGTAGGAAAGAGGGAGTTGGAAAGAAGTAGGCCATCAAGACATCGGTTGGATGTTTGTCCAAATGTGCACATTTCCGGATTTTGAACCAGAATCCACTCCATGTCCAGAAATGAGTTAAAAATGTGTACATTTGTGGAGATAAATCGTTAAACTTGATCAGATTTTCAAAAACTGCCAAGGTGTGGTGAGATGGAATCAGGACTAGTCGGTATTTGATCAAAATAAGATGATATCCAATAGTTAGACACTTTGATCATCTGAATCGGCATTTCATAGGAAAATTGTCTATCCTGTTTTTATATTGATAATAATAATTATAGTCTACTCTTAAATAACGTGTTACGAGAGGCATGCCAATTTATAGGCAAGATCAAAATTTTACGATTGCTAACATATTTTTGTCAAAGGTTGTTCAGTTACTCAAATATTTCAGAAGATACATTGGCTTCATATAAATGACTAATATGTTTCACATAAAATTGTACATAATGTTTCAGACTCTGCAAGGAACAGTACGATATTTGGCGCAAGTAACGACGCTTGAATTGTGACGAACCACTGCCGGTTGAGAACAACTGCACGTGAAATACAAGTCAGCGTTTAACAAGAATCAGTGTGGTAAATGTACAATAATATTCTTGTTGATATTTCTGAGATAATAAATTTACGGGCATCTGGGTAAAGTAACCAGGCCTTCGGCAATTATCCAGGCTAATATTTAAGGAGTATCATTAGGTGCTGAAAAAAGGAAATGAAGAGGAACGGACAAGCAGTAGAAGAGGAAGTATTTTTGTTTAAAGCTGAGTCATGACTCTGTAGATAATATTTTCGGATGAAACAAAGGTATGATTACTTGTACCTTTCTTTTTCTGTATTAAAACACTAACTGTACACCTACACATTTGTAGGTTAATGAAGAAAAGTCACTAGTAAAATAACGAATGGGCAATTAATCGTATGAATAGAGGAGATTCAACAGAACTAGATTGTTAGAAACAATGTTGATTTACAGAAAACAATAATGAAGGCATAATGATCTAATACTTCTGTGATATTTCACTCAATGTTGTTTTTCTAGCGCTGTATATCAAGAAGACATGAATGAGATCTTTTTCACCATAGCTGTCCCAATCTGCTGGTAATAGGACTTCTTGGTAGGAAGCAAAACCGGTGCTATGTTAGAAACATGAGTAGTAGATGTGGCTGACATGGAAAAATAACATCACCATTAGTTACATCCTGCTATATCTTAGGGAGCCGTAAGCAAAGAAAATGTTCTGGCACACAGAAATAGATAGATTGAAGTTATCTCCCCTACGTCAATAATGCTGGTCAGATACACCACCCTCCGCCTTTTGTAATACTGGGCTTGTAGTGGAGCGGGTCCAGCCTGACTATGATCACCACTACAAAACAGTTGCACATCCGTCACCAAGAAGATAAAATAATTCAAACGAGTGAGTATATTTGCTGGTGATTTAGTGGTATTGAGAGAATACCTAAATCGTGCCCGAAAAGAAGATCAAAATTTCAGATACAGTAGAGCCAAAATGGCAGGAACACAAACGGAAAGTTTGTGTGTGCAAACGCAGAGTAGGCAAAAAAACGTAAAAGAAACACTGGTAAACTTGGTAATGATAATGAGTGTTTCTTTTAAACGATTCGCGTTCTCTTCTTAAAAGCGGTTCATTATAGGTTCTCTTACGTTTAGTGGTAGATTTTAAATAATGATACTTGTATGGATGGTAATATGGGTATAATATGTTCATGGTCTGTTATTAGTTTCTAAGTTTAATCTGAATATTTGGTGGACCATAAGAAAGTGCCCAGCGACTTGGTGTGAGTTCCAGAAATGGTCAATAGTTCTCCGTAGAGTCTAACAACAGCATAACTAGTTTCTCGAACTTGGTGATTGTGTCACAGATACGGATAGTAATCAGTAATCTGTTCCACAACAGACTGTATCGTGTTACAAAGAAATTTAAACTCAATGAATTTTTGTGTATTCCCGTAAATAGTGTATATGCGTTGTTTTTAAATCTGTAAGCAGTGTCGTGGTTCATAGTTAGGCGGTATTTTACGAACGAGAGACCATTTATCAGCTCATAGAGGAGTATTGGGTTGTTACTCAACCGATGGCGCCATATAGGTTTTAGGGAAAGAGGTTTGCATCTATCTGTGTAGTTGAGGTTGTAGAATCCATTTTGGAAGGCTTTGTTTGCGAAAATTCCTCCATGTATACCTTTTTAATATTGATTCTTTCAGTTCTACATTTTGTTTCTATATTTTGTGCCTTTCTTGAGTTTCTATGTCTCCTTCCAAACCGCATTATATTGTTTAAGTTGATACTTGATTATGGCGAGTGCCATATCGATTTTGTTCCTCTGGCTGTCGGTGCGACTACACGGACTTAAAGTGTGCAACATGGATTGGAAATGGGAGCACTCTTCTAGAATTGGAAACACTGTGTTATTATTGAAGGAACAACAGTAGTATTATTGTTTAGGTAATGATGTATATTTATATATATGATTAATAGTAGAACCGTTGCTTACCCAGATCAATTGTTTTCGACTTCAACTAGACAGAACGCGTATCTAAACTTCCTGAACAGTTATTCCTATATCCAAACCTCAGTTTCGATCCTACAGAGGTTAGGGCTTCATACGATCATTCACCGGGTTCTGCCAAACTTTGTTACCTGTCAATGATTTAGATTCGCTTGACTGATGTTAAGACAGATTAAATAGATAAACAATACTTTGAGTCTGAATCCTTGAAATAATCCTTCAGCATATAAAATCCATGGTTGAGTTTTTAACAGCGCGTCATCTTAGTTCTACTTCTCTTCCTGATACTCATTAACGACCTGGTAGACAACGATATTAAGTGGCATTTGTCTACACAGACGATGCAAAGATCTGATGGTACATTAGAAGCGAAGAATATTAAACTGAGCTCCAAAAAGACACTACATCCTTTGAGAAACGGACAGTGAAAAACGGTTCAAAACTTCATCATCCGATATGTCACATTACGTACATTCTGTCCTGCAC